ATCGGAGAGACGAATTTGTATCTCTTCCCTCCCCTCCGATCTACGTCAAATTCAATTCTAGGTTTTCATTCTCATTCCTAGATTGGTTCTGAAGATCTGCGACTTTTTCTCGATTTGGATTATAATTGGGACATTGGTTTGGATTCGAATGCGAAAGAAAATTTGTGTTCAGAATCTGAAGCTTGAGTTTGAGTTTGATTTTGTTCTCTTTTTTTTCTTTTTTCGGTTGAGAGGTTGATTTCTTTTGTGTATTAACAATGGATTTGGATTTCAATGGAGATGTGGCGTTTCTCGACGCCGAGTTGTTGCAGCTTCAGGAGGTGTCTCCTTCGGCCCTCAAAGCGAACCCTTACGTTGCCGAGAAGCTGTTTGATCAATGGCTTTCGCTCCCTGAGACTGCTTCGCTGGTAATTGTGATTTGAGTAATTGGAATTGCTTGTTAATAAGGAAGCATCGTTGGAGAAATTGAATTACCATATGTTTTGTGTTACAATGTGTGTGTGTGTGTGTGTGTGTGTGTGTTTTCCCCTATGTATTGGGTTTTTGTGTTTGTCATTATTCCTAATGTATTGCAATTCCTAGGTGACCCAACTTAATTAGGATACAGGCTTAGTTTGGTTTGGTTTGGTTTGGTTTGGTTTATTCTGCTAGAATTTGTTTTGAATAGGTATTTGCTTAAGACGCACGGACACTTTGTGTGTGTCCGTGCCAGGCACCGACACTCATCGTACACTTTTCCCAACACCTGACACTTCTCCAAATGTGCTTAATTTTTTTTATTTAAATTTAGATCGGACACTTGGAGGACACATGGGTCCATTGCTTAAACAGACATGTCCATTCATTAGACACACATAAACTAATTATAAGTTAGAATAAAATAACTTAGAATATGATGATAAAAGAAATATAATGTCAATTTATAGAAATTAATTAGTGTTATATTGCATTTATTTGTTATCTTAGGATACTATATTCTTATATATGACATATTATAAATATATAAAATTATAATGTCCATTCATTAGACACATATGAAACTAATTATAAGGTAGAATAAAATAACTTAGAATATGATGAGAAAACAAATATAATGTCAATTTATAGAAATTAATTAGTATTATATTGCATTTATTTATTGTCTTAGGAAGCTACATTCATATATATGACATATTATAAATATATAAAATTATAATTTCCAACATGTCATGTTTTGCATTTTTTTAAAATTGTCGTGTCGGTGTGTCTGTGTCATTTCACGTGTCTGTGTCTATGCTTCTTATATTCCTAGTGCTTTTTCCTTTAGTTTCAGAAGGTGCAAGGGAGAGTGTACAAGATTTCACTAGATAGCATGCAGCTTGAAATGTCTCTTGTTAATGTTAAAAAGAAAAAGAAAAAAGTTGCAATTAATGATCATGTGAATTCATGAATTAGCATAGTTTCTACAAAAATGTCAATTCTAGTGACACCTGTCTATTAAGGAATTTGTGGCCTGTTATACTCATTTGGTATGTTGTGTATGTGTTTGATTGTCTTCACTCTTCATATGCCTTTTCTGATTAGAAGGTGTACGTAAACACTCTGAGCTCGCCATTGGTAAACTGAAACTTGTAATCTGTATGCTGTGATTTCACTTTTTGCAACAAGAGAGCTTTATGTTCTATATTGTCTCTTGCCTTCTTGCATTTCTTTCCCTTTTGCTTCTTTATGTGTGTGCGCGGTCAGTATAGAAGCAACCTATTCGAGAAGTTACTTTTTGTGAGTGCAGGTGAAAACATTGCTTAACAATGCAAAGGCAGGTGTTCCTTTGAATGTCCCAGGAAAATCTTCTAGTCCAAATGGTTCTTCAAGCAATTCAGTGCCCTCCATGTTTCCTGCTGGCAGTGCACCTCCACTCTCACCAAGAAGTTCATCTGGTTCTCCTCGTATTGTGAAACAGAGAGTGGGCCCATCTACTTTAGGTTCTCCACTAAAAATAGTGAGTGAGCCAGTAAAAGAATTGATACCTCAGGTTAGCAAGTCTTTGATGTTTTTTCTTCGTATCTGCTAGAAAAAATTTCTTCTAGTTTGTCACTTTTGAAGTTCATTTCTGTTTGTCTCTAAACTCTGAACACAATGGTATTTTATGTTATTGTTGTGACTGGAATACTTGCAATCCTTGCAGTTCTACTTTCAAAATGGTCATCCACCTCCAAATGATCTAAAAGAACAATGTCTGCTCAGAATCAATCAATTTTTCTATGGTCACTCGGATGGATTGCAAATCGATGGTGAGATATAATATCTTCGCCCGTCTGATATTCCTGAAACTTATATGTTTCTTTTGTTTTTATATTTTTTGTGAATGCCACTGATATATTGTGTATTGATTTTATTTTATTTTGTTTTATTTTTCCATGCCAGAATTTAAACTAATTACAAAGGAAATCTGCAAGCTCCCCTCATTCTTCTCTACTGCTCTATTTAGAAAGATTGACGTTGATTGCACAGGGGTTATAACCAGGTATGCACCACCTTTTGTTTTTAGTTAAGATACTAGTTTCTCAATATGGTTTATTTTATATCGTTAATACGAGATTGTCAATGTGGGAAAAGAAAGCTGTAATGTTCATTTTACGAAGTCTTATTCACAAACAAATTGGAAGTTGAATGGTTCTTGGATGGCTATGAATAGGCCTTTGTGCAATAGATTTTAGTAGACTATGAGATTGAGGTGAACTTTGGATTTTGAGATCATAGATTTAGGGTTTCTTTTATTTTGCTTGGCCTTCCTTTTATTTTCTTTTGGTTACTTTGTTCGTAAAAGCCATCTGGCATAATGGTTCTTAGTAAGCCTATGTTACATGGCTTGGGCATATGTGTTTCGGTGCAAGTATGTGTTTTAAGTGTTGAGTTCATCAAATGCCAATTCCAAGGACTATTGAACACTGCTAAATTTGCACACAGACAGACACACACACACACATATATATATATATAAATTTTCGATATTTTTTCCTTTTCTTTCTAGGTTACATTTGTGATTATCGAATTTGATTTCATTTTAATATCCATTACTTTGGGTATTGTTGGGGCAATACAGAATATTACTCATTTTCTATTTGAGGTTTGAGTATTGATTTGCTGAATGTTTTGATAAGTGGTGATATATTTAATGTTTTCATCAGTCGATAGATTGATTTTTCTTATTTTGTTTATGTTAATGTCTGCAGGGATACTTTTGTCGATTATTGGGTCAATGGCAACATGTTGACAAAGGATATAGCTACCCAAATATATTCAATTTTAAAACAGCCAGATCTCAAATACCTCACTCAGGTGGTTTTTATTTTGTATTTTTTATCCCTTCAAAACTTATGATGCATTTACTGTTATTTTATTTTTTTATTTTATGTTTTGATGTAGTTTTATACAAATTAAGTCTTGTCAGAGGTTATGATGCCATCAGAAAGTATCTTGTTGTCTACAGAGTTTTAGGTTTGGAGTATTGATTGACCATTTTTGTGAATATTTATTAACCTGACTGTAGGATGACTTTAAACCTGTGCTTCTTGAGCTTTTGGCTACTCATCCAGGGTTGGAGTTTTTACAAAGCACACCGGAATTTCAAGAGAGATATGGTATGTAGCCAAACCAGTTTGTAAGTTTTGATTGTGGCTTTACTTTGGTGTGATTTTGTTTGCTAATTTTCTTTACTAGAAATTGGTGGTGGACATAATGTTTGGTTCTTGATTCTTATGCATGATTGTATGTGAGATCTCCACGTTTTGAAATTTTAATTTTGTTTGTGTTTTAGAAACAGATTTGGTTGCATCTAGAGCGTCTGTTTTGTAAAATGAAAAAATTCAATATTCTACATTTAGAAAAGAAAAGAAAAAAAAAAATCAATAGTACCCAATACTGCCAAAGACTAGGTCTGTACCCAATCTACCCCTTCCAAACTTCCACCAATGAGGACTAAACTGAGCATACTGTTTGTTTTTAAGTCCAGGGTATGTGCTACATGGAAGAAATTTTATTTTTTCTATTTTTTGGCTGCCTTGGAGAACGGGAAAAAAATTTCTTATCTGAAATATCTTTGCTCTGCCCCTCCGCCTCCTCTTCAATCTCTCCCTCTCCTATCTGTCCTCTTTCTATTTCTTTGTTTCATCATATATGGGAAAAAACAGAAAACATTTGCATATTTGTTTGCTCATTATGTTTTCAAGTAAATACTTGTAAAATCTAGGCTGGATCAGAGGGTAAGAGTGTAATTAACTTTTTTTGATTGAAGCACTCCAACCAGGAAACACTTGTAGATTATATTTCTGAAATTTTTGCTATTCCCAACTTGCATTGAACCCATCTGTATTCTTCTTTTGCTTTTGATACTGAATTTGTCTTGTGATGTGTATAGCCTTTGTATTCTTTTCCTTCTCAAATTTTGTTGGATTCCTTGGCTTTCTATTGTCATTTCAGTATGTTGCTGCCTTGAGCTGAGGGGGGAGTGTGAGCATGTTGTAGCCTTAATTTCTTTCAAGTTGAGAGTTGTTTGCATATTTTCCAGTTCCATTAAAGATGGCATATTCTTCTGATGCGGTTTTAACATTTAATTTATGTCAATTGGCCAGCTGAAACTGTAATATACAGAATACTTTACTACATGAATAGATCAGGTAATGGTCAGCTAACCCTCAGGGAGCTGAAACGTGGAAACTTAATTGCTGCAATGCAACATGCTGATGAAGAGGAGGACATCAACAAAGTTTTAAGGTAGATAGACTGAAAGTGGACATAATTCTTGGATGTGAGGAGTTTTGTTTACTTTATTTTCTTTTTTTGTTGGTCCTGTCTTATGAAATGCACACAAGAGTTGGTCAAATGCAATCTTTCTGAGACTCTTGGTGTTATTTCGTAGGATGGATGGCCTGGAAATGGGAAACTGTTCTCATATCAGCTAATCACGCAATTCCAGTTTTCTATTCCCCACAACAGTCTAAAGTCTAAACATATCCATCCAAGCTCGTCTCCCTTTTTTCCTCTAAATTTTGGTTTTTTAGAAAGGAAATTATTATACATTACTTTCATTCATTTAGGCCAAGTTTGGCATGTCCAGTAAAAGCCAAAAAGTCAAAAAGTTACTCAAAAAGTTAAAATAGTTAACACTATTCACCAAAAGTCAACAATTACGGCGCACAACTTCCAATACTAATTTTCTCCTACAAACCAATTTTTACAATTTTTTTATTACACATTTTTTCATAAAAAGTAAAAAGTTAACCCAAACATCTATGTTTTTCCTCAAATTTTTAGTCCAAAAAGACAAAAAGTGCACTTATTTAGGAACAACCCCAAACACCCCTTAGAATGCGTAGTTTTCATTTTAATATGTTCTTGTTTGGTATTACATTCTAGAAATTGTTCTTGCTTCTTATTTTCTTTTCTATTTCATATTTTTCTACAGGTACTTCTCTTATGAACACTTCTACGTGATATACTGCAAGTTTTGGGAGCTGGATACAGATCATGATTTCTTGATTGATAAAGAGAACCTTATCAGATATGGTAACCATGCACTTACGTACAGGATTGTTGATAGAATATTTTCCCAGGTTTGTGTCATCCAGATAATGGTTTCATGCTTGGATTTAAACAGCCTTTTTTGTGCAGAGATAAATTCTCTGTTGATCAATGCTTCATCTAGTTCTCCTCCAACTTCATTTTTATTGCTTCAATATCATCTCAGATACCAAGAAAGTTCACTAGTAAGGTGGAGGGCAAGATGGGATATGAAGATTTTGTTTACTTCATACTGTCAGAAGAGGATAAATCATCTGGGCCTAGTCTTGAGTATTGGTATGTCGACCTTTATATGTCAACATAAGGATGTTATAGTAATCTGGTATCACTGTTACTGTGGTAGTTTGATGAGTCATGTTCTCATGTTCTTACTGCTAAGTCCATGATTCTCGAGATAATTTTGA